CCTGCTGAAAAAGTGAGAGTGTACTTTCAGTGGACTTAATTTTGATGGGCAGTGACAAAAATGAGTCAGGGCAATGATATTTATTCTCTCTAGTACAAACTCCGTGGTGAGCTTTGTACGTTATCATGTGTGCCATTCTTGGTCCACCCCTCTGTTTCAACAAAAGGCCAAGAACTACCTTCCCTGCTTTAGCGCCTATCTTAGGCTATTTACCTATTCCATATTCATGAGAATACCATACTTAGGGCTAACTGAAATACAAAGGAGTTTGTTTGATAGGGAGAGGCTGGGGTGGAGACGAGAATGGACTTTTGGTAGGAGGTAGTTTGCTTCTGAGGGCATTTTATCAAGAGAACAACACCCGAGACTGAATCTTCAATCAACCTCCAATGATGCCATTAACCTTAGTTTTGACAGGAATCATTGGCTCAAAACCCACAGCAAGCTGAAAAAAAAAAATTCACTTGATTGAATGTGACTGATTAATGGTGTGCTCTGAAAGTTATTTTAACAATAAGAAAACAATGCTTTAAAATCAATCTAGCTAAAAGGATTGAAATACAACTTAGACACATTTAACTCTTGTTTAAAAATCCCCGCTAATTGGTTTGAGAGATGAGTCTAAGTTAGCACATAACCAGCTAACATGATTTAGCAATTTTTTAGAAAGAAGATGCACTGTTGACCTATTTCATTTGAGACAGTCACTGAAAGAGTAAAGTGTGGGGCGTAAACCTAACATCAGATATAAGCACATTTCCATTCTATTATTCTTTTGGGGCTTTATGGGATGGTAAATCTGTTGACTATAAATTTTTATAGCCAGTAAAAATGTTTACCTACCTCTGTATGTAGTTTACATTAGAGATGAGGTCACTTTTTTAAAGGAACATTACCCTAAAGGTTTTCCATTTGTTATTACTATGAACAACTCTCACTCATTCATCCTTGCCTGGCAATACTAGTGCACCGAGTGTGGACTAATTATTTTCATTTCACTTTGTCATGTGCTGCTTCTGCTTTTAATAGAGTTATAAGGTCAATTATACTTGAGGTCAATTGTGCTCTGTCCTTGGTTAAAGCTTCTTCTTAAAGATTTCTCTTGGAGATTTTTGCTTTCCTTAGCTGGTTGGTTGTTACTGCACGCTTTCAGCGACGGCTGATGTGTTGGCATTTAAAGCATTAGTTCTCACACTGGACGATTTTGTGAGCTGGAGATTTTGCACAGTGAGAAAATGAGCAGAATCAACCACCTACACCCCTACATCCACCCTGGCCTCCCCTCCATCTGCAGGGAGGGGAAGAAGGTGGCCGAGGGGCCAGCGTGCCGGGTCTCCACACAGGGGTCCCCATTAGAGTCCTTGCCTCTCCCCGCAGAGCCCCACCACATGCCCTCGCTCCCACTGACCTGCACACATGCATGCTCGCCCTCTGGCATGCCCAAGCCCTCTGCACCCCATAGCTACTGCCCCGTCAGCCCACATATGCTTCATCATCTCCTCCCCATGCTACTGCCCAACCTCCATTTCACACATGTATGTGCAGAGTGCATACATGCGCAGGACCAGGGGGTCAGGGGGAACCTACTGCTCGGGATGTTACCTGCACGCGCTGCATGTGCGCCTGCTGCTGCGTAATCACACTGCCTGCGTCAGCATGCCCCCAGGTGCAGAACGACTGAGGAAAGGTTTGCTGGAGACTGATCCGTGTCGGAATTACTCCTGAATTTATACTTTGAATATGGAATGTGAGCATTGAAAGCATGGGGGATTTCCAGTGAGTAGCTGACCATATGCTCACCCTGCAGTGTGTGAATATAATTACATGTAAATCCATACATGGTACATGCCAGGAGAGATGTTACTAATGAAAAGGAGAGACAGGTTGCTAGTTGAGGATTTTTCAGTACAATTTTGCAGTGAGTCAAATTTTAATCATTTCATGTCCACCATCCATCTTAAGACAGCATCTACTTTTTCTGTCTACCATTTTGGTACATCTCCAGTTCTCACTGCTGCACACTAACACAAGATTACAATTGAATTTGCATTATTTCCTGTTTCTCTATGACATGCCTATTCATGCTATGAATATACATCTCTATCTCACTTCCATCTTGATAGCTTTGCTGGCAAAGATGGGGCTCTCCTGAATTATCAACCTTTCCAGATTTTTTTTTGCCTTTTAAGAGGCTGTTGCTTCAGCATGACATCTGAGTTACAAGGAGGATTGATTTGGGCTAACTGATTTCAAGCTAAGCTTGACCTTCTATTTTTGCTAGGATATTTGTCTTTCTTCCTAGCTTTTTAGAGGCGTCACACAGTAACTCAGTGTTCTGTCCCTTTATGCCCTAGTCATCTACATATTCTATACAGGAGGCTGAACACTGCTTCTGTAGTCAGGCTATGACAATGCCAAGCAGCAGAAGAGAAATGATTCAGACCAGCCTTCTGGCTATGCCATTCTGTTGTCTGATTACTTACCCTCACAAAGCACTGTGATCTCTGCACATGGTTTTGATAGTGTTGAGGGCTTTGACAGGGATTTTGCAGAACTCAGGTATGCTCCACAGTCTAAGTCTCTTCACGCTAAAAGATATCTTTTGAAAGTCAATTAAAGCAATGATGAAAGAACATGCCTTTCCTGAAGAACAAGCCTTTCATGGTACTCTGCAGCATGAATATCCAGTCTCTACATGATCTCTTGAGTCTGAATCACAACTTCTTGAAATGCACTGCCAACCTCTTTTTCCCGGTAATGAGCATTCTTCTGTCTTTGCTTTTCACGACTCCGTTTCGAGTTCCAAACCTTTCCTACTGGGCTTTATTCATTCGATGAATGCTTCTGTGGCTTTCTAGCGCAGCAGCAGTGTCCCGCTCAGCCAGCAGGCCGTCAGCATGCCTGTTATCTTTCCTTGCATCATTTCTCACTTCTTTAGTCAAGTTTCTGTCTTATTCCGGGAATTCACCAATCAACATTTTTCCTTTTAGCATCTTCCCCTCATCCAAAGGTACCATGTGCCACATCCAATACTTATCCAATACTTGTTTTGTGTTGAAATTCTTCTGTCCCTACTACAATATGAATTACATTGTCTGCAAGCACTAACCATTTTTCTTCACATCCAGTCTCTGTCTCAGCTTCCTCTGCCTCTGCCAGTCACAGATTTGTTTTCAGTTTGAGCTGAAATTTCTCGTAGAGCTCTTCAGTTTTCCATTTTGTTCTCTTTTGTTTGCTGATTCAGTCTTTTTCTGTTTCAGTTGTGCAATGCAATGACTGTCGCTCCTGTGAAACCCTGCTTCATGTGCCTTTGTAGCTTGGGTAGGGGATATGCATTTCAAGTTCTGTGGGGAGGTTCTTGGCTACAAGGCCTCTCTTGGAAAACAAAATCAGCAGAAAATAAGTCAGAATTTATTTCAGCAAATAGATCATTAACTAAGTTAGGAAAATGATTCTCAGGAGAAAATATATCTTTGGGCAGAAAAAATATGAAATGATTTACTTGGATTGACTACAGCTTCTGAGAGTGCATACACCATTCATACATCTGGATTTTGGTGGGCTTAAGGGCTACACAAACAGCTGTCAGGCTTTAAGGCTTGGATGCAGAAGTTATTGAACTGGTATACACAAAACTCATTCGGGCAAATAGACTTTGTACTTACAAATATTACTGAACTTTCATACAAGGGCTGAGATAATCCTCTGCCTTCAGAGAGTTATCTATTCACGCACTTAACCTGAAACACATGAATTGTCCCAGTAAAGGCAACGAAACTATTCATCTGCCTAAAGTTAGGAATGCAGCCAAGCACTGTTGTGAATTAAGTTCTCTGAGTACACAGACATGTACTGAATAAGGGCAAAAAAAGGTTATGTGCAACTGAAAATACGGCTTTGTTAACTTCTCCTTTTCTACATACTATTTCATTAATATACATTTAGGGAAAATAATTCCTGTAGGATCAAAAATATATCTATTAAGAAAAAGTAAGAAATATATTTCACCTCTCAGTTACGGCAGATTTTGCCTTTGGAAATATAGTAACAGATGGTAAATTCAGACACAGGCAATAAATCGTGACAATCACTTGGCAGTGAAGAAATAGCTATTGCTAACCATTTGTCAGTATTCGATTCTAATAAAATAATAACAACAATAATAATAATAATAACTACTTCCTCAGCTAAAACTCCTGTTACTTTTTCAAGTGTTAGAACCTCAGAACAGGGAACTTCCGCACTGATGGTCAAACTGGACATATAAATCCTTTTTGGCCGGTACCCCACACAACATACACATTAGCATTACATAACCTTCCAAAAAAAAGCTGCAACTTCCATTTTCCACCTGAATGCAATGCCTGCAGCAGCTATATTTGTGAAGCAGTAGGCCTCCTGTTTACAGGCCGTATGAAACGAAGCCATGGGCCGTAAGTTATGCGTCGCTATTTAGATGAACTCTGATCACCCTTTGTAATTTTTCTGCAATAGACAAAACATCTTAAATTAGAGAAATCATTAAGATTATGAGCACTCCTCTGTATCTGCAAGGGATGTTTTCTTCCTTAGCCTCCGCAGAAGTCTACACTTCCCTGAGCTTTGAAGAACAGTTAAAAGTGTTTTACACTCAAAATAAGTCATTTTTTAATCAACCTAATTGTCACTATCCTCCAACACTAGGATAAAATCAAAAAACTAAAGGTAATGAGTTGCTCTTTAAGAAGTTGGCCAGGAATCATCTCTAGGTTATCCTCATGACAAATTACATTTGCTTGCTCTTCTTCTGTCATTCGATAACATGAAACGGCTTTCACAGAACCATCAGTGCTAGAGAAAGAATAAAAGGTTCATCTTAGTCCACTTCTCTGATAGCAACAAACTCTTTCCTAAAGTTTCCTTCAGTTCATTCAGCCCTGGTAAAACTCCAGCCCTGCCTAAAACTAG